CCCTTTCAGCTTCTGTAAATCACCAATTAATGACTTACTGAACCAAAAATTTCCAGCTTATCATAGTAGTCACCAGTTGGCTTATGTTAACTCCAATTTTTCCCCTAATATGTTCAGCTATATGAAATTTTTCGCCTGCACTCACAGCAGCAAGACAACAATAAATCCTCAGACGTGAAGGCAAAAACTGAACTACAGCACAAATGTTACGAAAACATGGAAAACTTACCAGTCTGATGTTAGGCAATGAAACAGAGGAATTGAAATATCCCTGAAGAACTGTGTAAACAGAGCAAATAATTAATGAAATCTATTACTTATGGCTTGATTGGAACCTGGAGCCAGACCCTGCAAATAAAGCTCCCCTCTAGTAGGAGAAGAGGAAAGATAACTTCTTATGAATAGCAAAACAGGAAAAAAAAAAAAAAAGCCAACAATGAATTAAGAGAATTTCTTTAAACAAGTCAACATGTATAGATCAGAACTAGGAACCACCTCAACCTGAGCAGGTTTGTACAGAATCATAGAATAATTTAGGTCAGAAGAGACCTCTGGAGGTCTCTAATCCAACCTTGTCCAGTTGAGTGTTGAATATACCCAAGGATGGGGTTTCCACTGCCTTTCTGGGCCACTGTTCTACCACTCAGAGTATAAAGATACTTCTCTTTATATTCATCTGGGATTTTCTTTAATGCAGTCTGAGCTCACTGCCCCTCACCTTTTACTATGCACCTCTGAGAAGAGCCTGGCTCCGTCTTCTCTAAACCCACCTGTTAAGACAGCTGAAGAACAAAACATACGATGTTCCCAGAGCCAGCCTGAACAAGCCCAGCTCTCACAAACTCTCGCCACATGACATGTGCTCCAGCCCTCTCACCTCAGCAGCCCTATGATGGCCTCACTCCCGCCCAACACGGCACACAGTACTCCAGATGTGGTCCCACATGTGATGAACAGAGGGGACTAATCGCTTGCCTTGACCTGCTGAAGGCTCCTCCTAATGAGATTCCTTAATTGCTGCAAGGGTGCACTGCTGACTCAAAATGTGTTCGCATCCAACATAAGAGTTAACGTGATTACACCGTAACAATACGTGTCTATAATTTATAGAGTATTTAGAAGATGTCTCTATAATGCTTGGGTATCAATGGATAACATGTCTGCTCATTGCTATGTCAACTTACTTCTATCAACTCATAATGCTTTTGCAAATGTCTGGGATCTCACACCTCAGGAAGAAGGTGGGGGAATTAAACAAAAACCAAAACAAAACCCCAAAACAATCCAAAAAAGAAGTGGAGGTAGAAATTGTTGTTTTAAGAAGACGGTTAAGAGACAACAACTCAAGTATAAGGACTTTATGAGTGACAAAACACAGCCAGAACTTACTCCACAAAGTTAAAAGCAATCTGTGCCTATCACAGAAGAGAAGCATCTTAAATAATGTCTTCTCTATTCACAGAACAAAAAGGTAGATCTAGTCTGCCACCAGATCCACTTCAAGGGAACCCACACGAGAACAAACTGCAGTAATTCCAGATTGGCTACAACAAATTGCAACTAAATCGCAATGCTACAAAAACGAGGCTTCATTTTCAAGAAAATCCAGAGACAGAAAGACAAAGACGACTCCCATATTGCGGAAAACCACCCTAGAACAAAGGCGAAATTCCAGGACACGCTCTCCACCAATTCTTTCACGTACTCCAGATCACGTACGCTTCTCCTGATATCATCACACCAGCATTTGTTCTGCTTTAGCCAATTCACGTCAAACCAGAAAATTATTAGCCAGCTGCAAATTGTTCATTATGAACTTTCAGAATAAAGGCAATAGGCTGCTGCGAGCATCCTGAGAACAGGTGAGGTTTCCCTCTTTCCTCGTACCTCTCGATGGTCAAAAAAAAAAAAAGGCCAAAATAGACAGGGACAAAGCAAAAACTGACACCATGGAGCTAAGTGTCTGGTTCCCCAGTTAAGTCATTCTCTGGTGAGAAGATGGTATTTACCAGCAAGCTACAGACAAGGAGGATCTGCCAATCTCCAGTTGGTCACACTGTTTAACCTTCAGCTAGGGTATTCATGCACGATGAGACCAGCAGCTACCTGACAGTGACAAACAGAATTAAGACCAGGTTATTCTACATCAGGTGGTGTAGACATACAGTTTTAGTGGTGGTACTTTGATCCTGCATCACATGAAACTATAATCAGGATATAGAAATTGTAGTACTATTTTTATTCTTCCCTATTGCTTTAAAAAGGCGATGCTTGAAACAATGACTTTTTTTTTTTTTAAGATGGTATAGTAAGCAATATTTCTTTCAAAATTGCAGCTGTCCAACAGTTTGAGTCTGTTCTTTTTAAAATGAAACAGCCAGAACAAATGGTGGCGGCAATCCCAACGTAAAGAGGCCATCGATTATTAAAATCTCCTTACTATAAATCGTGGATGTTGCTTGTCAGCTTGGTGTGTGACTGTAGTATGAATAAGTAGGTAAAATTCCACTAAGGCCATAGTTTGCTTGATCATTCCGCTGTGCAAAAACAGAAATAAAAGCTCTCCCCGTCCTTTCACTCCTTAGTACCAAAACATTCACACACACATTAAGAGAAAAACTGCAACGGTGCAATGGTCACTGATCCAATTCCTTTCTTTCCTGAGTCTGCCCTGATGCTACTTATGAATTTGCCTACTCAAGAAATGCAATAAAACAGAAAAAAAGACGGCTTCATTCTGCTTCAGTGATCTATATCTAAGGAAAGCACATAAATTTTCCAATGAAATCCATAAATGAAAGACGAGGCCAAGCCCTACCTATATATCTTCAAAGTTACAGAGACAAAGAGGTGCCAACTCTGTGCCCTCTGAAAGCACAAAATCTCCTCCACACTTACCTAAGCAATTTTCACCAGATTAACAGATGCAAAGATGATCTAGTTAGCCTGCGCCTTGAAGGGGTTTAGGCTGGCTAAAAACCTGCTGAAGAGCCACGTTTCAGGAGTTCACAACGCTATCTGATAGTTGAGCGTGAGGCAGGGATGAGAGCAAGCCAACAGCAACTTCCCGTCATTCCCTCCACCTTCAGAAGTGGAGGGGAGAAAATGGAAACTCATCCTTCAGACTAAGCCATTTTCCCCTTTTTAAGCTATTCCCACAAAAACAGGGAAGATAAAAATGGAATGTTGGGGAAACACTATGCAAATTTTTTATATAACCGTATAAAAAAATTTACATAGGTTTTTAATCTTTATTTTTAAGGTAACACAGTCCTGCCCGTCTCTAACACTTCCCGTGCTGTTTCTATTGAAATGTTTCCTCTTACCGGCAGCAACATATCATTTTATCAGGATGCCAGGAGATCATTTCCACACAATGCCAGCAGATGTAATTTTCTTAGATGCACACACAGTTCATCATTTAGATACTAGATGACAAGGTGATCACAGGGTGACTCTGCAATGCAAGTTTGCTGTTTGGTATTTTGAATTCTCAAATGATAAAAAAAAGACTTATCAAATATAAATATCTTTAAGAAAAAAGTAACAAAAGTGCTACATATGATCAAGGAAAACAATTCCATTAGTTTCTGCTACTTAAAGTAGGTTTGCTTTACAAATATTACCACATCCATTATCAGTATGGCTTCCAATTATTAATTAAATTGCTCGTAGCAGTATAGCTTTCTCACATCTTAACAAGGACAGAGTAAAGAGAACACAAAACATTCACACCCCATTTCTCAGGTAAGAGATCCTCCTGCCTTTAAACAAACAAAAAAAGTTCAAATTTAGGAGAATATTTATGCTGTGATGGTTATCTAGCAAAGGTCAGATGCAAAAGTTCTCCAATAACCTTTCAGGCTAGCGAGGACGTAGGCATTAGTTACACAGACGTGTAAAAATCCACTCACCCATTTTATGACCTTAATAACCTTCCTGGAAAACATTGCTTTTGAAAGTGGCAAAGTGGAGAAGGGAGTAGGGTGGGGACAGAGAAGGCGAGAGGAAGAATAAAAGGTGAAATTGTTAATGACAGATCAATAGAGTCTAGACCTCTTCTGAGCAGGCACTGCTAGCCATGCCAAATAATGAATAGTGGTTTTGAGAAGTGGACTGTTGTCCATTAGACATTCAGCTCATTTTTCATATGATCCCAGGCTGGGCTTCAATCATGGTCCCAGAGGCAGAAGGCAGTACTTATCCACTAAGCCACGCAGCTTGTGAGAGTAGAGGATGTCTGTGTTGAATATGTGAACATCAACCGAAATATGTGAATGTGTTTCCAATGGACATTCTCAGCACAGCACCCAAAAGTAGATCAAGTCACTGTATGACCAGTGAGGCACGGCTTATTGCAGCTGGAAATAATTTATTCCCATGCTGAAGTGGGGTTTCTAGTGTTCTTTTTACTCTCTGTTGATACTCCCGATTTGGTGTCCATCGACCCTGTGCCACTACCTCAGCTTGCATCCTTTCAGTCTCAGAGAAGGAAAAGCGTACAGACTATTTTTTTAACATGATCTCTAAGGGTATCCAAGATTTTAAGTGTAGCCTAAGACTTGTAATTGAGGGCTGTCTAAAATACCTGGAAGCACTTTGAATGCTAAGACAGAGCAGCAAGATTTTTCTAGCCACTGGGGCTGGGAGAGGGAGGTTGGTTGGTTGATTGATTATTTATTGGGAATTAATACTGAGAGAGTATATGCAAAGGCTGAGGGCACCATGCCATCTTCACAGAACAAGACCCTAACAGCTAACTGACGTACAAGAAACTGCAAAGTTATACTGTAAGAACACATATTAAGGACCGAGGAAAGTCTGCTAAGGTGCTACGTCTAAAACTAAGTTACTTCTTGCTTTGACCCTCCCCTTTCTTTGTATCAGTCGTCGTCTAGAGCCTCTGTCTTGATCTCGTTGGCTCCTTGCCGGGCCAATGCCAAGATGGTGTGGTTTACTGCTGCCATTTCCACGGCTAATGAAATGGGGTCTTGATGGTCACTATGGCTAGTGCTGTCATCCTGTGCATGCGGAAAGGAGAAGAGAGAAGCATCGTTACTCCATAAGTAGAAAACCAGCAGATAAAACTAGCATGTAAAGTAATGGACTAGGGGCAGCAAATTGCACATTCATTACAGGGGCAGAGAGTGAAAGGAACATTTAGGACTGATTTCCCTCACTGTGCAGACAAAGGTAAGCAGGGCAAGGAGTGGCGTACCCAATTTTCGAGAGAGAGGTATGGGGGGGGGTCATATTCTGAGGAAAATATTACATTATAAAGACAAAAGTGATACACAAGGTATGTCAGGAAACCAAACTAAGATAGGAATCATTAGGCACTGTGCAAATTCATGCTACGCTTACGTTTTGAATATACAGTTCTGGTCATCCCATTTAAAGAGGACACAATAGAACTAGAAAAGGTAGAGAGAATGGCAGGCCAGGGGAAGAGAAGCATGGGGTGGCTTCCTTATGAGGAGAGGCTAAATACTCAGGTTCTTCAGCTTGGAAAAGAAATGGCTGATGATTGATCCAGTAAATGTTTATTACAAATAATTAGTAAATTAAGAACAAAGTGGATACAGAGCCTGGCTCAGGAAGCCTCTCAAAGCTACTGACTTCCAGAAGCTGGCAGTTACTACAATAAAATCATTCTAAAATTGTCCTGTTCTTTAAAAATACTTTTTCCTGAAATACTACTCTTGACCTCTCTGAGAAATAGGATACAAACCTAGACTAACCCTTGGTCTGAGCCAGCATCCTGTGAAGAAACTGGGTTCACACAGGTGGAGGGAAGAAGTTGCTGAGAACCTCCGAGACTGCCATGATTTCAGGGGACTGGAACCACCGTAATGCAAATATGCAGGTGAAGATACCACCAGGTTCTCCAGGCCACTGAACTACACGCCATGTATTTCTTCATCTATTTTCTAAGGAGCAAAGTCTCTCAGCTGTAAGAGGACCACTGTGCTGACTGCTGTGACAGCTGGCAAGCAAAGCTAATACAGAGAAACTTTGCTGCTAGAGGACAGCAGTGAAAATTTTAAAATCAATGAACAAGAAGGGCTGCCTTCTACGGGTGCGTAATGGCCATACAATATCAGACCTAAAAGTCTGACACTTCTAGCATAAATTTTATAGTGAGTTGTGCATGTTTCTCAGTCTCCGTCAGAACCAGGGCTTGGTTTTCAGTGACAGGAAGGAGAACCAGCAATATCCAAACTGTAATCCCAGCTGTCAAATAATTTCTTCTGGAACTTTGGGCAAAATCATGGCATTTTCTCCTTTTTAGAACGGGCTATGAATAGTTACCACACCATGATCTCGCAATTTTAAAATTTATATTATTATTTGCAGAAAGGAAATTATAAACATTTATCAGTCTTCCAACAGCCTTTAAGTGATGAACTTGCAAAATTTATAATGTGTTATTATGCGTTTTTAAATTAAGATGACATGTGGCAAACGCCGAGGGGCACAGAAAAACCAGGATTGGTAAAATCCAAAGGTTATTTAAAGGAATGAATTCATTTACAACAGCTGTCAGGCAAATATTGTGATGTGCACACACTCTGAGGGGCTCCCGGTGATCTTTACCATGGTAAAAAAGCCCTGACTTCTGGAGTTTTAGGCACTTCATTAGTATCTGGATGAACTTTGTGTTTTAAAGTTTACTAGAGTTTAAGTGTTGCTGTGGAAAACAGAATTTATCATTTTAACAGCTAAGGGATGTTAAATGGTCATCAGGAGACCTCGTCATTTAATCCGCTTCACTGCTAATTCCTAATTACGCTTCACAGAGGACCCCAGCTAGATTACTGAGAAACGTAATCTTTAAGGACTCTAAACAAAGATCTATAAATTTTAATAACCAGTTCATTTCTCTTTTCAAAGTATTTTGGATAACACAGAAGAAAAACATAGTTTGGGAGCCTACATAACACTTCATCTCAGTATCCAGGTCCTGGATCTGACTGACAAGGAATTATCTGTGCCCGGCAGCAGTTTCAGAAGATTTTATAACAGTCACAGAGCAGCCTCTCACCATCTAGCGCTAGTAAAGTTAGTTCCACCAAATCTGCTGGAGATGACCTATAAAAAGGGCCTTAATACCCATCAGAAGCAGAGCGGCTGGGAATGCCTCTGCCAGATATCTGTCGTACTGGGCCAGAGCCAAGTATGCTAGGGACTCATTCCAGTGCTATTACACTCCACTAGCAGCCTTTACAGAGGGAGACCTACCTACTTCTCTCAAACGAGTCAATTAAAAGCGATCTGCCCACCCCAGATGTTGGGTGTAGCGCAGAACGCAGCTCACATCAAAACCAGAACCAAGTGAACTGTTCGAGTCCACTGGTGCCAAGCACACACAGCCCTGAGGGGTTTTGGCCAACACTGACACCTGAAGGAAAATTGGGAAGGGGATGCAATACCTGTCAGGAAGGTGTGTGAAGGAAGGGTCACCAACTTTAGGGTAGGTGAGGGCTCAGAGTGCGGGAAGGGGTATTCTTTTGCTAGAGAATTTAAAAAAGAAGTTGCTGTCAAGGGTTAAAAATAACCAAGAAATGACTTTTATAGGCAAGAGTTAAAATGCAAAAAGAAAAAAAAAAAAAAAAAAAAAAAAAAAAAAAGACAGATAATATGTAAACAATCCAAATAGTGGCACATCGTTGCAGAACAATACGGAACAGGTACAGGGCCAAATAAATGTCAACCTCTATTTAATCAAATCCTTCCCCCCCACCCTTCACCCTTTGTCTGTCAGTGTGTTAGGGACTGATCCTGAGACGGTCCTGAAAGGTGCTCCCACGGACAAACAGAAGGAGCTCAGCACTTTATGGGAGGGTGCTCAGTGTCCTGCTGGGCAAGGCTGACAAAAGGGATTATACAGTGTACTGGGCAGGGGCTTACTGCTGTACTTGTCTGGGTGCCAGAGAAGCAACTCGCAGTAGCTGTAGCACAGGCTATAATGGAGCTATTTCTTGCAGAAAGAAATAATGGGTGTAAGAGGAACACACATGCCTAGTTTGGCAGGGAAGCATGTTGGTGCCTGATATATAGGAGCAACTGTTAAAGACCTGTATATCCTTTCTTGAGGGTGGGTAACTAGAACGGCGCCATGGGTAAGGAGAGCGCAAGTTATGCATGGTGCACTGGTGAGTTAACACTCTCCTAACATTTTTCATACATTGCGTGTGGCGTGAATGGTGTAACTTGCTTGTTTGGAGCAGATCCTCCTGTCTTCTTCTACCTTCTCTGCTTCTCTGCCTCCCTCTGAACATCTTCCCTCCTCCTCCCCATTGCGTACTTGCCAAGTGTCCTGTTGTATGACAATAAATCCATGTGGGTGAATACTGGTTGCTCAACACATTCAAATAGGGGAGCTGTGCTCTTCCACTTTCCCCATTACAATTACATAAAAGCAAAACAAAAACAAGACACATCTTATTTGTGAGAGGTAGAGGGCCTCTTCATGTGTCACGCGAACTCTCCTTTTTTGGGCCACGAGGGCCAGCCACGATGCTTACCTGCTCTGAGTAGTCATTGCCATCAACGTCGTCACTGTTGGAATGACCTCCCGGACTCTGTACATCTATTCCATGGCTCTCCAGGATTGCTGCTTCTTCGAAAAAAGCAAATGGATCCCTAATTTATCTGATGCATTAGAGTAATTAAAAGTAACTACTATTTTTTTTTTCCAAGAAGTTACAATAACTGGAAGAACACAGTTAGTTCTTAGCCTCTTCCTCTTCACTTTCCAGTATTTGGGAAGGTAGGGCATGTACAGATACATGTCCTGAAATCCTTTTGCCCGAAATCCTTCCCTGCCAACCTACAGACTTGTGTGTGAGTAAGAATCCTTGTTTTCTAGCCAGTCCTATTAGAAATTAGCTTAATTTCTAATGCACTGGAGTGGCAAAGGCATTCTGTAGATCTTCCCACATAGTTTGGACTGGCAGGACTTGAGGGGGGCAGGGAACGTCTGAAAATAGATGGAGAAATTTTTTAAAGCACTTAAGGGATTTAAATACATACGTATCTTCATCTTCCAGTAGGATCCACACATTTAGAGCTCCCTTTGGTTCTTTTTAATCTCCTTCCAAACCTCCTCCCCAGGCAGGTCAGATACAGCTATAACTCCACCCACCTTGGACTAACTTTGTTTTGTGTCCCCCCCCAAACCTTCAACAGGTTTCATTTAAAAAAAAAAAAAAAATTAGGTTAAATTTCAGTAACACACCAAATGCTGTAAAAAGAAATTTTCCTTATTCACAAATATGGCAAAAAGAAGTGGATAGCAAAAGGGTGTAACATGAAAATACTGGTAATAGGCAGGTATGGATCTCCATCTATGTATTGCAAACACAATTCTGCACAGTATCTAAGTAAGTGCATAAAATTTTGCATGCATTGCAGAAGTTTGTTGAATCCTGGCCACTACTGTGAGTTTATGCTCATTAGAATATCTTAGGTTTATTCACATTAGAAGGTCTACTCGTTACAAGTTCAGAGTCCCTTCTAATTTCTTTACCATCAGCTACTCATCACTCAAAGAGCCTGCAGGGCTAACTCCAAAGTGACTTTTTTTTTTACCCCGATCATCAAGAAAAATTACTACTTTCTTCCAGCCACTTGTTACTGTGCAACCCCTTGGAAAGCAGTAAGGATCACAGGTGTAACCGGAATGAGAAGTTGCCTTGCAGAGCCTTTGGTCTTAGCGTCTGTATCTGAGACTTAAAACAACTCATCTGAACTCTTAGATCCCTGTGGGGTCTCAGGGATGGCCATAGGAAAGACACCCCCAGGTTTTGGCTGAAAGAACAAGCACATGTTGGTGGAACACAGACACAAGGAAACTTACAGCCAGATAAAAGCTCTTCACAACAGCCACTTCTCATCTAAACAGCATGCTAAGGTTGTGAACTTGCAATCCTCTCTATTTCCCTTATTTCCAATGCAGATATTTTGAGCTTTTATTTTAGATTTTACTTTGGATACCCAAAGGAGCCTGAGCATAGGGAAATATTACTCTCCTTCCACCAACAGGATCCTCACTTTGGTTTTTAAAACTGATCTTCCAGTAAAACTTCACAACTGCATAATTTTTCCTGCATTGATGATGGAATTCTGTAAATTAAATTCCTACTATTTCAGAAAAAAGCTGGAACAGCAAGAGACTAATTTTTAAAATTGCTCCACGTTTCTATTAAGAATGTCAGAACCTCTAGTATTTTCATTAATACAACCTTATATATTTTCCATCTCTCCTGAGCAAGCATACGCACTAAACCTTGAGAGCAGGCTCTCTGATACATTACCGATATTAGCTCTTCTCTTGATTTCCTTTCTTCTGTTGGCAAACCAATTGTACACTTTAAGGGAGGTAACTCGCTCCAAATCCGATAACTTTTTTCCTATGAAAGTAACAGGGGAAGAAAAAAACACCAAACAGCATTGTTACTCACTGGGTTCCAGAGGGAGGCAAAAGACCCTTACACATGTGATACACCCCTGCAATATAGACAGCACTGAAAAGTTATTATAACTGAGAATAAAGTGAATTTTATGTGCATCGAAGTACTGTGCCCAGATGCTCTGGTAATAAATGCCAAATATCTCTCTAAAAACAAAGTAGCCTTTCTTCTTTTTTTAAAATCCAAAATACAGGAATTTCTTTGCAGCTTCAATCAACTAAATCCAGAGCCGGAGGAGAATAGAGGGCTGCTCTAGCACAAAACTGAGATTCAAAACAACTCCAATTCAATTCACAGCCCTGCCACAAATTGCATACCCTTGGGCTAGTTCTCTTACTATGTGCCGTGAGGATATAGTTCAATGATATGTTTTCTTCAGCAGCAAAATGAATGAAGAGATTTTGTGTCATCCCCTCCAATCTGCTTTCCCTCCTCTCCACCACCAGCTGCTATCGTGCTCCCGCAGCACTAATCACACCCTCCACCGTGCCAGGACGCTTGTGATCTTTTGGGCGAAGGCGGGGGGGATATGTTGGGAACCAGGTTACTGAAGTTTTTACACTTAAACCAGCAAATAAAATCCCAACAACCAGTCAGCTACAGGAGACAATCCCTTCTCCCGACCGCCAGCATAAAAGAGGGAAGGGTGGAGGGATTCAGCATTGCAGGGACAGCATGGCCTTGGCCTCGCTCTACTCAGTGTAGCTGCATCCTCCGTCCTCTGCAGGCTGCGTGGGGCTGAGATTCCCCTGTTTCAGACCATTTCTCAAAGTTCATTCAGCTTACAAAACATTCATGTAATTGCAGCAATCTGCAAACTTAAGGAATTAAGGAGAGATGAGATAAGCGAAAGAAAGAAAAATCTGGGATTAGATTGCTGCGCTAGGGCCAGTCTTGTTTAATATCTTTATCAATGACCTGGATGAGGGGATTGAGTGTGCCCTCAGCAAATTTGCAGACAACACCAAACTGGGTGGTAGTGTTGATCTGCTTGAGGGGAGGAGGGCTCTGCAGAGAGACCTGGACAGGCTGGATCCATGGACCAAGGCCAGCTGTATGAGGTTCAACAAGGCCAAGTGCCGGGTCCTGCACTGTGGTCACAACAATCCCATGCAGCGCTACAGGCTCAGGGAAGAGTGGCTGGAAAGCTGCCTGGTGGAAAAGGACCT